TCTAAGAAAGTAAAATAATTTTTAAAATTTTGAAATAATTGCAATTTTTTAGGAAAAAACTGATCAATTACTTAAAAAATTTACAAAATTTTCTTGTGATGATTAAAATTACTTGGCAGTTTCAAGATGCACAACTTATCAATTGGTACCCGCGCGACAGACCCCAACATTACCACTGTTTGCTCCATTTTCACATTGAGAAATTGGCAAAAAAAAAAAAATTAACAACAATAGTAACAGTGAAAAAGCAGAAGATCTTTGTCTTTCGAAATATAGCTGTCAAGTTGATTATAAAACTTTTTGTGTTAAGAATTTCGAGATATTTAAGTATCTACGCTTGTGTACAGTACGACTGCATTCTTTTTGGGTAAACTTCAGTTGCCTTGTTTTCCTTTTGAATGTTAGACTAAGCACGCAGTTACCCACAAAACAAAAAAAACCCACTTACAAAATGCGAAACAATTAAGTACCAGTAAGTAACCGGTACTCAATGCTGGCTGCGCAACAACAACAACCATCACTAACAATAAGTAGAGAGAACTCTTATCTTAACAAAACTACTTCAGGGATCAAAATTTCAAATGTTTTGATTTATTTAGACAGAAAAATCAAGCTTAAATAGTAAACAGAAAAGATATACATACATACATACATATACTAAAACAAATACTAGAGAGAGACTCTTGACCATATCCAAAAGTTTTTTTACAAAAAGCGAGAAAAAGTAAGAAAAAAAAAACAAAAAAACAACATTAACTACACAATGTGGGTATATTAGGTAGGATGTGAACAACGTGACTGGTGGGAACTACGTTATTATTATACAAATACTTACATACATACATACATATTAATGTAGATGTACGCATGGCTCTTATGTGGCAGCTAGGCAGTGGGTGGCAAAAGTTCAATTAGACACTTCGCCTTCGAACGGCGCCAGTATGTAGAACATGTGTAAACAAAAGCTGTAACCTAACAATCTTTAACGGAAATGAAGAAGTCTACTATTTTGTAAATAAAAGTGACATTTTTGGTATAAAGAAATTTAAAATAATGAAAGAAAACAAATCAAAACTAGTAAAAGAGAAACCGATTTTTGTGTTTCGTTAGAAAATTTAAGCGATAACTTGTTTCAAAACTTTGTATGTAATTTTTGACAAATGCTAAAAGCACTTACGTAATTAAGAATAGGTGGAAAATAATATGATGTATACGATACTAAATATTTAACTAGTCTAGGCAAAAGAAAATACTAATACATATAGTAAAAAGCTTCTGGAAATGCTTCTGGCATGCGAAAAAATTGTTTTTCTGGAAAAAAAAAATAAATAAAACATTTACAAAAAGGACACATAAACATAAGTCGAAAGCATTTTAAGTGGGTTTGCCAAATCAGACATTTTTTTAATTTTACTTATCACCAAAATACGTAAGTTTTTAAATAATAGATTATTTTTTTTTCTTTAGAATTCTGTGAAATTAATGTGTTTTTTTATTTTTGTAACGGAATCGCTTTATGAGCTAAACAAAATCAACTAGCGGTAAATAGTGTATCTGTGCACGCCAATTTATTTATTTTTTTTTTTTTTGAATTTTTCCCTGTGTTCGTGCAGACTCTGTACTTGTTTTTATTGCAATTAAGAAAATTACCGATAAATTTTGCTGAATATTTAAGAGAACTAAATTAAAATCAAAACTAAATTGTGTATAACGTAAAAAGAGGAGATTACCTCAAACTTATCGCTGGGCATGACAAATATTGTAAAATATTAATAAAAGAAATTTTCAAAAAATGCGAATGGCATGCATGAAAAGTTAAAAAACAAAAATGCAACAACAACAAGAACAAAAAGATTTACCTACCTATTGTAAAATGTGAACTTGGAGCATACTCAGTATTTTATTAATACTGTAATGAAAAACTTATTTGAAAATAAAACTATAAAATATAAAAAAAAAATCATAAATGGCTTTGTTTAACGAGTTTTTGAGAGGGGGGACGAGGTGATCTATTTTAAAAAGGCGTTCTACAAATACACAAACAGAGAAAAATATAACCGATAGGAAGAGGACGATTGAAGATTGCCCCTAAGAAACATTTCTAGAATAAGGGATAATACAGACGAAGAAACTAAGAAGCGCAAAGTTGGTTTTTCTATCTTGCGTCGAATGAAATAATTTCTTTTTTGAAGCTAACTAATAGTTTTGTTAACATGGAAAGTGAGGCGTGAGGTATGTACTTTATTTAGCGATTTTTGTTAATAAAATAGTTGTTTGTAAAGTGGGTATAATACCTATTTAATAAATTGCCTTTTTTTATTGAAAAAATTTTGAAATTTTTGGCTGCGTTTCTTTATACATTCCGGATAATCCGATTTCACAGCCGGAATAAACAGAATGCGTTTGAAATATACGTCAACATATCATCAGGAATGTTCTAAAGAATAAATAAACAAAAAAGTTTATTCCAAACGTTCAGAATGAATAAAGAAATGCAGCCTTTATATTAGTTAGAGTTATAAAAAAGTTCCAACGAGTACAGCAATTTCTCTTCAACAGTTGGAAAATCCAACAAATTGCCAATGTAAAAATATTACGAAGTTAAATAGAGCATCTTTTTCTTAAGTCGTTTATTGGGATGAATCCAGAATATAGGAGGACAAAAATATTTACTTCATATGTATTTGACAGATTTCAATGAAATTTGGTATCCAGGGGTTTTCGTTCTCAATGATTTCGAAATTGAAATAAAATTTTCAAAATTCAAAATGGCGGATACAATATGGCGGGAAATATCTTAAAAAATGTATATGTAGATAGTTATGAAGCTTGGTATCCATAGATTTTCGTCGTCACTGGTTTCGAAATTGGTATTCAATTTTCAAAAATAAAAAAAATAAAAATTTTTGTTTTTAAAAACTTGAAATAAGCTTTTTAACCGATTACACCTTCACAAAAAGAGAAAGGTTATCAATTCGTCGGAATATTTTTATTTTTTTTTATATATGTTAACGCATAACTTTGGACCACGTTAACCGATTTATATAATTCTTGTTTTAAAGAAAAGGTGGTATCCCATATTAATTTCGTTTAAGTCCGATCATCCGGGTCATGAAGAAATTAACGATAATCTTAAATTTGTATATGAGAATTAAAGTCGGTTTTATTTTTGGTTAAAATTACTTGTTGCTATAAACATTTAATTTAGGCATGTAAAACTGACCTTATTAAAAAATTATTCCAAAAACTCCCTTAGATCAGATTAAAACTATTAAAAACAGTTACTATTCAATTTGCAAATAGGAAGAGGTGAAAAAAGCAAAGAAATCTGACTTTTGTTTACTTTTTGTTATCGATACTTTTTTGCAAATATGAATACAGGCATCGATTCTTTTTTAGAATATTTTATATGAGTACTAGTATCGGTACTTTTCTAAGAAGTTCTATCACTACATAGGCACCCTTTCCAACCGAGTTATGCCGCTTTTTCTCCGAATCTCTGGCTGCAGAGCACCTAGTACACTTAGCTATCTTCTTCTTGACCGACTGACGGAAACGAACCCAATAGAATCTGTTCTTTATCCTCTCAATTATTTTCTTGGTTCCCATGTGCCTTCCTTTTGTACCTCTGTGGAACTCTTGCCTTTGGAACATCCACTAGATTCCGGGTGCTTCGACCATTCTCACTCCACTTACCATCTTCACACATCCCCATTGTGTTCAGTATGCCTTTACGATTGAACTTTCGGCTCACCCCTCCTCCCTAGTTGGACGTTTCCTCGGCTCTATTCCGCGCACTAGGCGTGCCGTATTTCCCTCTTCCCGCGATATCAACTTCTTTGAATGGACATGTATAATCCCTTCCTGGATTTCAGGCTTTATTGCTTTGCTCCGTTAGCTTCCTCTGCTGACCACGAAACCTTCGGACTTCACTCACAACTTGCACAGCTGCTGCCATTTCCGTCTATCGGCATATCTCCCTTGGAACATAGGCTCTCTTCCGATTAGAAACACTTCCTGTCAAACATCTAACTGGCTCACCATGACCACTTCCTTGAGGGGACTTCCTCTTTTTCTCGGGGTTGGCGGAGCGGGCACTCTTTTCCTGTACCGCGGAATAGCTTTCATCCCTGTTTTATAGATTTTTGAGGTTAAAAATTAGCGATAGCAGATGTTGAAATCCGGCTGCTGGTTATCGTAATCAACCAAAAGTGGCACATCCCTGGCGTGATATGGCAGGATCCTTCTCGTCAAGTTGATCTTCATGTCTTGCTCGAGTAGAAGTCCAAGGCCACATCCTCTATTATTACCTCCTAACTCTTGGGTGCGCTGTTTGCGCTGCTGAACTGTTGTACCAGTGGGAATCCATCTCACAATCGCGTGCCAATGGGCTGGTTTTCTGCAACTATGTAAATGATTTTCCAGCATCCTTTTTCTGGGTTACACCAAGACTATTCTTCCCTGCGATCGACTTGAGTGTTTTCAGTATCTCATTCATCACATCCGTTGTTTCCACTTGCACTCGGTGACCCTTATGTGCTGGTCTACTTAAGGTTCTTGTAAACGATGAGAGTAATTCTCATGAGAATAGGAATTCCCTCTCATAAGAATGAATAATTACACTCTTCGTGCAGTAAATATCCATTCTCATTACTAATTAGGCGGTGAGAGCGAGAGTGAAATCCTATCCTTATGCGAATTTTTCTCGTCGTTTACCAGAACCTTAAGGAGCGCTGGCATTTCCTGTGTCTGGATTTCAGCAAATGTTGGCTTTGGATTCCCGTAGGTCGATAGCTTGGTGTACATGTCCCGCAATCCGTTGATGAATCTTTTGATTGTTACCCTTTCGAGGTGTTCACCAGATACGTTTCTCAATTTCGGAAGGGAATACCTGCAGAGTCAACTTGGCTGTTTGGTGGCAGTTCTCCAGCTCAATGTGATAAGAATTGTAGTGCCTTTCGATGGCACCGGTAAGGCGACCACCATAGCCGAGTATTCAGTAGGTTTCGTGTTCGAGGACAGGTCATTTCTTCCATTTTCTAAGCTTTATTAGATAACCTAATGAAAACAGAGCGATTTGATGCTTTGATTTTGAATATCGTTGTTGCGTTCTTTGGTTGTCGCAGTGGCTATGTTCTTCTTCTTATTTGGTATTACAACGTTACGTCACGCCGTTGATCTTCAAACCAAGTGGCAGCCTCGAATTATTACATTAACTGCCTTACCATCTAATGGCAGGATAAAGCAGTTAATAGCGGCTTGACGTTTCACATTTTTTGTTTATTTGAATTGGAAAACAATTTATTTCTTCGTATTTGTCCAATTTGCAATTTCTCGGGATGGCTTTCTCCCAATCCCTCGATATTGGTAACAGCACTTTACTAAACCTAGACAGCCAAGCGCGACATGCTATAGACCAAGGATTAGTGGGCAAAGGCCAGAACGGTGGCCAAGATTCTACGAAAAATGGTGAGGATGCCGCTGAAGTAATAGAAGAATCGCCAACACGCGAACAAAGTTCCAAGCAATATGGAAACGTTGCTGGTATGAGTATGTTTAGCCGGTCACGCACACAACGGCTACGACGTGGTAGCAATAGCAACACGTCTAATGCACTTAACTCGGAGGTAAAGGATCGACGTCGCTTACGTAAAAGTAAATCAGATTCCACTTTACCCAAATCCGAATATTCAAATGCAAAGGCAAAAAATGAGAACTATACCGAATTGTTTCGAAGTGGCTTCACGTTTTCAATAGAAGAGCACCCTAAAAGTAGCAGATTGGAAGAAGGTTCCGTCTTGCGTGTTTCACAAATAGAAGCTGCGTTTGTAGGAATAGAAGAGGAAAATCTAGATACATCTCAAAATGAAGAAAAATGTAGTTTTCGTGATGCAGACTCGCTAGTAACCGATTTAGAGATCCCAATATTTTCCGAAGATTTTAAAAATCTTATAGAACCAATTGACGAGGATAAGAATGAGTCTGTTCAAACTTCACCTCCGGAATTACCAAGTGATGGCTCCAACGATATATCGAAAAATAATGAAATGACTTCAGAACCTGAAATACACCAATTGGATAATAGTAGATTTGTGTATTTAGATCTGCATAATTCAGAGGCAAATCAACAACTAGCAAAAGAGCTGGAACAAAGTCGCCGTGAACTTGCAAAAGTAAAAGAGACAGTGGAAACAGCCCCTTTAAAAAACGAAAAGGCTAATTCGTATGTCCAGAATAGCATCCAGTCCAAGGCTACAGGCTTTTTAAATCAACCATCTCAGATAAAAATAAAAAAGGTTGCAACAGATTTGGAATCACTGAAGCGTATTAGTGCTTGGAATTTACCCCGTAGCGTTTTACAGGAATACGAAAAGAAAGGCGTCGTTAAAATGTTCGACTGGCAAATCGAGTGTCTAAGCAATCCCAAGGTATAAAATTAAATTGAATTACTTAGAGTAATAATGAATTCCAATTTGCAGGTTCTATTCGAGCATTGTAACCTCGTCTACTCTGCTCCTACATCAGCTGGCAAATCTCTAGTGAGCGAAATTTTATTATTAAAAACTGTCCTGGAGCGTGGCAAAAAAGTATTATTTATACTTCCATTCATTTCTGTAGTACGCGAAAAAATGACATATCTTCAAGATTTGCTAACTGTAGCTGGCTATCGTGTTGAGGGATTTTTCGGTGGCTACACACCTCCTGGTGGATTTGATAACATACATGTCGCCATATGTACTATAGAAAAGGCCAACTCTATCATCAATAAACTTCTAGAGCATGGCAAATTGGCTGACATAGGCACTATTGTCGTTGATGAAGTGCATTTGATATCCGATCCTGGTCGCGGATACATACTTGAACTTTTGATTGCTAAAGTGTTGTACATGTGCCGCAAGTATGGATTGAAGATGCAAGTGATAGCTATGTCAGCGACGTTAGCCAACGTTGAATTGCTCAAGCGTTGGTTGGATGCAGAGCTATTTATTACAGATTTTCGCCCCGTCGCACTTCAAGAAATGATTAAAATCGGAAACAAGATATACGATTGCAAAATGCGGCCATTGCGTGACATCTCTGAACGCTTACAGGGTGAAAAGTATCCCTTTCCTCCACTGCAGAATGACAATGACCACGTAGCGCAGTTGTGCATTGAAACACTGCTGGAAGGTTGTTCTGTAATAGTATTTTGTCCTTCTAAAGATTGGTGTGAAAATTTAGCTACTCAATTGGCCAGCGCTATACAAGCACTGATTATTAACGATGACAACTGGGGAAAGCGATTGCGCTTACAGATAAAAAATGAGGCCATTGAGGAAGTAAAAAAGCAGCTGAGGGATATACCAACAGGTTGGAAAAATAAATTGGAAATATGTATATATACTTTCTATACAAAATTGTTATTTTCAAATCAAAAGGTCTTGACGATGTGCTTGATAAAACAATCACATGTGGATGTGCCTTTCATCATGCTGGACTTACAAGTGAGGAACGCGATATCATCGAAGCAAGCTTTAAATCATGTGGTTTGAAGATAATTGTGGCGACCAGCACACTCAGTTCAGGTGTCAATCTACCAGCGCGCCGAGTACTGATTCGAACACCACTCTTTGGCGGCAGACAAATGAGCTCACTCACGTACCGACAGATGATTGGTCGTGCAGGACGTACGGGAAAGGTTAAGCCAACTTTTTTTTAACTTTTTTAGAAGTAGTATATTTTAAATAATTTATAGTATAAATAGACCTCCTTCTTGTTCTAAAAATATGTTCCTTTACAGGACACTTTGGGAGAATCTATTTTGATTTGTACCCCTGCAAATGCACGCATTGGTCAAGCTCTAGTTCAAGAGGACTTAAAGCCAATATTTTCTTGTCTGGAACAAGAAAGCAGTGTAAGTTTTTCTTTCACTCAATTTTAAAAGGGCTAATAATTTTTAAGCCGTTAAATATTCGACTGTACAGACCCATCTTAAACGCGCGTTGCTCGAAGTGATTTCCTCTGGCGTTGCCACAACTAAAGATGATATTGCAAACTTCGTAAAATGTACGCTTCTAAGTGCAGAAAAGCAGCTTAGCGAACAGGGAAAGGACAATAGTGAAGACGGGGATAATCTTTTTATAACAGATGCTGTTAAATTTCTTGTAGAATACGAGTTTGTACGACTGCAAGTTGATAGCGAAACGAATAGAGAAAGTTACGTCGCAACACGTTTAGGCCAAGCGTGTTTGTGTAAGCCGGAATTTCTTAATAAAAAACAACGACTAATCATATTTTATTACTCTTAGCTGCATCCATGCCGCCCACTGATGGACTTCTACTTTTCGCTGAGTTGCAGAAGTCACGCCGTTGCTTTGTACTTGAGTCAGAACTGCATGCTGTGTATTTGGTGACACCTTACTCGGTATGCTACCAGCTGCAGGACCTCGATTGGTTGCTCTTTCTCGACATGTGGGAAAAATTGTCGCCAGCTATGAAAAAAGTCGGTGAACTCGTTGGTGTAAAAGAATCCTTTTTAGTGCGTGCCATGCGTGGGCAAACGAAGTTGGACTATAAACTTATGCAAATACATAAAAGGTTGTAGAATAAGCTACCTTTAACAACTGAAATATTATCGGCATTCGCAAATTGAAAATCAAATATAATTTTTTTAGATTTTACACTGCGTTGGCATTACAGGAACTGGTCAATGAAGTACCCATAAATGCAGTAGCCGCCAAATATAAATGCACACGCGGCATGTTGCAAAGCTTACAGCAAATGTCGTCCACATTCGCTGGCATAGTCACCGCATTTTGTAACACACTGCAATGGTCTACATTATCCTTGGTAGTGTCACAGTTTAAGGAGCGCCTCTTTTTTGGAATACACCGAGACCTTATTGATTTAATGCGTTTACCGGATTTAAATCATAAACGTGCTCGCGCACTATTTGACGCCGGTATAACGACGCTTGTGGAGTTGGCAAATGCGGACGTTTTCGATGTGGAAAAGGTGCTATATAATGCTTTGAGCTTCGATTCAGCCAAGCAACATGAAAATGAAGCAGATTACGAAGCTGAGCAGCGAAATCAAGTGCGTGACTTTTTCATAACTGGCAAAATAGGTTTGACCGTTGCTGAAGGCGCGAAGTTGTTAATACAAGAAGCGCGCATATACGTACAGTATGAAATAGGTGTAGGCGCAATTAAGTGGACACAAGAAGATGCACATGATACCACTTCTGCAGATAGTTTTCACATGTCTTATGAAGAGCATAGAATAGAGCAGGGTAGAAAACGTAAAAGTGAGAAGAGTAACGGCGTTAAAAAGTCTGAGGTAACGCCGCCAAAACAAAAAAGACTGAGCCCTAGCGTCAAGGAGGATTTATTGGAAGAGAAACCTTCCACCAGTAAAGAAGCATTGCGTGTATTAAGGCAACAGCAAAAGAAGGCGGTAGAGCAAAATAAGCAAAGGCTTGAAAATAATGAAAAACAAGGCGGGGATCTAAACATAGCGAAGACTTCTATAAACGCCAGTAATAAAGAAAATGTGGCAGCTAAAAGTAGTAGTATCACACCTGAAAACTTAAAACAAACAACTGTTGAAATGAATGGGAATAAACAAAAGCAAACTGGGCGATCCGGAATATCGCCTGGTACAAAAACTAGCAAATTAAATAAGCTTGTTACTTCGGAGGGGCGTAAAGAAGAGAAAAATAAAAACACCGATGCCAAGGTGCCCGCGGATGGAGGAAATGCCAAAATTGTACAAAATTTCAAAGCAACCCAAGTCGTGGCTAGAAGCAGGGTTTCGGAAAATAACGCCACAAATTCGGTAGAAGAGGGAAAAGCCGCGGAATCAATGGAAAGAAAGCCAATTCAAATGAAGGTCAATACCGATACAAAAAAATATTCGTTGCGCAAATCTACCGAGAATGCCAAACCCCCACAGATAGCAGTTGCCCAGCCACATTCCGTGAACCTTCCATATAAGACTACGCCAAATGTCAATGGTAAGGCGGTTGGACATACTCCTAAGAGTTTGAATGAACAGACAACAACCAAAAGTACTTACAAGCAGTCACCTAAGGCGACGCAAGTACTACCGTCCGCTCCACGTCGTAGCCCACGCAACCATCAACGCACTTTTACTTCTACAAACCCTACTTCTGTGGACGCGAAATTTGCCATGCCACAAACATCCGCTGCTGCCAAGCACTTTCCAAATGAAAAATATAACTTGGACGAATCACTTTTCATGGCCGATGACTCCTTCGAGTTAAATACTGGCATCAAGGCTGCTTTGGAAGTTGGAAATGAGCTAAAAAATTCGTCTGCATCCCCAAAGGCTGCTAAAAGCAATGTTGACGAAATTCCCGAATCTCAGCAAATTGTACAAGCTGTGGCCGATTCTCCAGCGCCTGCGAAGCACTCGGTTCATGCATCACGTCTGCTGCGCACCACTCAACGTCTGAAAGCACAAAAAAGTAGTATAACAAAAAAAGAACTCACCGCAAGCTCGCCACCGTCCAGTTCAATAGAGGTTTCTGAATTGTCACTAGAAAACTCATTGCTCAAAAATCCACTGCAATTGAATGCTTCACATATTTTAAATTGCTCAAAAGTTGATACGGCATCAGCCAATTTTAATCGCCTCGAGGTGGTGGATATCTCTGGAGACCAGAAACTCTTCCAAGCTGCATGTCGAGAGCTCATAGAAGTCAAACGTTTTGGCTTCTGTGTCGGCTTGCAGCAACAAGAAAATAAACGTAAGCCACTAATAGGTGGCAATTTGCTTATTAACCAAATGACCGATGGCGATGCCGCTGAGAAGGATGTAGCAGCAAAAGACTTCCAAATTGATGATAATACATATCTGGCCGGTTGTGCATTTGGTGTCACCGAGAATATAGTCTATTATATTAATATGCAAACCGCAGGCACCTGCAAAAGCGTGACTGCGGAAATGAAAATAAAATGTTTGAAGGCACTCTTAGCGGAAAGCGGTAGAACTTTAATTTGTATCGATGCCAAGGAGCAAATGAAGATCTTATGTCGCATTTTGGGCGAACTCGGTGAGTTGCGCGTTGATTTGGAGGACCCAAAGGTGGCCAATTGGCTTCTGCAGCCAGACAAATTTATGAGCTTTCAACAAATAGTAAGTTATAATAGCTAGTTTTGCAAAACTTGTGCAGATCTATGTATTAAGTTTTATCAATTTGATAGACACAGCAATTTGCACCAGAATGCACTGCCCTTACTAGTTTGTGTGGCAATGGACGTGGTTACGGTAGCCATGGATTGGACACGGCTAGCGCTATTTTGGCCAAGGTTAGGTAATTGCAGAGGTTTCAGTTGAAAATTTAGATGACTTTTTTTATGATAAAAATTATTTGTAGATGTTCAGTCGAGGCTTGCGTTACTCTGCATATACTGAAAGCACAAATAGAGAATCTGGAGCGCATCGGCTCCGGACAACTGTACAAATTTTTTAAAGGTTAATTGTCGTATCTTTTAGCATTACATTCACATTTTAAAGAAACCCCTATGATTTTGTAGAACTTGAAATGCCTTTACAAACTTCACTTTGCAATATGGAAATGATCGGGTTCCCAGCGAATGAAGCAGCTTTGCGCAAACTTTTCCAACAGATGCTAGAAACGATGAAAAAGCTCGAATTGAAAATCTACGAAATGCATGGCGGACGCTTCAATTTAGGATCCTCTGCTGCGGTGGCGAAGGTAATGCCGCTATAAAACAATAGCAAGTCTATCTGTATAACAGGCTTGTTTATTTATATATATCCCTATTTGAATTACATTATCCTTTGAACTTAAGGTTGTCGGTCTTCATCGCAAATCCAGCGGCCGTATAAGCACTTCACGCCAAATACTCGAAAAGATCGATTCGCCAATTTCTCAAGCCATCATTGAATATCGCAAATTAAGCACAACGTGTACAAAAAATATACAATCACTCTTGAAATGTGTGCTAAAAAATAGGTTATATTATTTAACTATTTTGAATTTTTGTTTCTTATTTACGTAATTACATTGTTTTCTTCAGAATACATGGTCAGAGCATCACATTCACTCAAACTGGACGCATTTCAATGAATGAACCAAATTTGCAAAATGTGGCAAAAGACTTTGAAATCAATTATGAAGGTACATACAATATATAGTCGGTATATTCCATATACATACATACATACATATGTGCTACTATGTTGTCCTTACCACTAACTATTGCATTTTTGTGTTTGTATTGCAGGTGCCGAAAAAGTGATAATATCTTGTCGCAGCGCATTTTTTCCTGCAGAAAGTGGTCGATGCTTGCTTACCTCCGATTTTTGCCAGCTTGAAATGCGTATACTGGCACATCTTTCACAAGTAACTACACATGAATGTGCAAAGATATATCATACAAACTTTTTTATAATACGTACGAATATAGGATTCGGCGTTGCTAAAAGTAATGAACACCAATCGGGACATTTTCACTGCAATAGCGGCGCGTTGGCATAAGGTATCGGAAGCTGATGTTTCAGAACAATTACGTAATGGAACCAAGCAAATTTGTTATGGTATAGTGTATGGCATGGGAATGCGCAGGTTGGCAGATTCACTCAAATGCACGGAACAGGAAGCGAGTTCGCTGTCGCAGCAATTTCATTTGGCTTATCCAGGTATAAGGTAATGCAAGAGGAATTATTTTCGCACGGTTTCATAAGTTAACCTAATGAGACTTTATTTTGTAGAGCCTATGCTGATAAAATTGTTAAATTCGCACGCAACAATGGTTATATAGAGACCATTACTGGACGACGTCGTTATCTGGAGCATATCAATAGTGGAGAGCCTCAGCAAAAAAGTAAGGGAAAAACGCATGAGCGTCAATTCTCATTGATGCCTTAAATATATATTTTTGTTTATGTGGTCTTTTGTCCATTGCAGATCAAGCTGAACGTCAGGCTATCAATTCGACTATTCAGGGCTCTGCTGCGGACATAGCCAAGAATGCTATATTACGCATGGAAAAAAATATTGAAAAGTTCCGAGACAAGTTGGGCATTACAAGTGCGAATGCAGTGCGCTTTGTGTTGCACATACACGACGAACTGGTGTTCGAAGTGCCCACAGATAAGGCGAAAAAGGTGGCCAAAATCTTGAGCCTTACCATGGAAAACTCTGTTAAACTCAGCGTACCACTTAAAGTCAAACTGAAAATCGGCCAGAGTTGGGGTGAGCTACAAGAAATTAAATCATAATTTCTGCATAGGTGTTGTTAACGCTTAAATAATTAAGTCTTAGTTAAGTTTTATACTTTTAATTTATTTAATAAGCGCTAACATTCTACATGAATTGTAAACTACTTTAAATGCAATAAATAGCATACCGCTTGATTAATTTTAAATTGGAAACATGCAGTTATAGTGTGCTACATTCAGACATATGTATTCGTTGATTGCTTTTAAGTTACCATGTCTGCTACATACACGACAAAGTCGGACTATAATCAGCGTCCGTCCACTTATCGCATCTTAAGCCTTGTTCGAGCCCTCCTTTTCCGCCCACTCAGTCCATGAACCAGGGTAATACTTGGCGCTAAAAATTGTAAATGACATATAATAAATGTATGTATTCATATTTTGATTAATGTACTTTTTGTAGCCATTCGCAACTGCCAAATCGTAAGCTCGCTTGGCACGTCCACCAGCTTGGCAAGAGAATATCAGCACCGTCCCTTCACTGGGTTTGTCACGATTGAAAGCGGTTTTAAAGTCGTTGTCAGACATTTGAAATGCAGCTTCCAGCTCCGGCACTGAGAAAAATAATACGCAAATATTTGAAATTAAACGATAAAACAAACGTCTTATTTTAACAATATAGATTTTTTTAAGTACTATATGTGTCTAATTCAGTAACGGTCAGCCGATATGAAAACTTTTTTCTCTATGATCAAACGACTTCTTTTCCTAAATCCGCGAAAATAAATTAGCGGTTTTCGTTATCTTTGGGTAGAATTTTAATTGACATTCTATGCCGAGTGCCGCTATCAGAACTGGGTTTTTTGAGAATCTAATCGATTCCAGGAAAATCTCTATTCATGTACATTGACATACTTTACTGTTTACCTAATTCTTTTCATGTTAAAAAAAATCCTTATCGACGCGAAACGTGACTCATCGATGTTAGAACTTACAGCTTACTACTTAATAACTAGTGCGGAACCGCGTTTTTTTGGTTCAAAAAATTATGAGAACATATCGTCGCCGCTGTGGTAAATTCTACTAACTCCCCTTTTCGCTAAAAATCACTTTTTGAACGGAATTAGGGGAAGTATCCAATATCTGCTAAGTGCAAAAACATTTATTTACTGTACTTCGGATGTACTTTGAATAGTGACTCCCATTAGAGCAGCAATGCTGTCCAACCTTCTCCTAGGAAAGAGCACAATACTACATACTTTTGGTCGGTTGAACGGGCCTATTATCACTACACCGAGTATCAATCATATTCAGTGCTTTTCGCGCTTTCCTGCAAACAACTGGCAGAGAATGGTCTGCCGGGTCCACGTAACCGGAACGACCAAGATTTATGTGTGGCCAAGGACAGTCACTTCAGCAACACTTCCCAAAAACTTTGTTGGAAAATTTTCATGTTGTTACAACAACAACCAATTACCTCTGGTGCTTGGCAAGGGAGAAAGCACACCACCATGAGGAGAGACTGACCCCTTCTGCCTGAATCATAACGACCTTCCAAGGCGAGTGTTAAACAAAGTCATGCCTTTCAGCCGAGCTGCACATTCTATTGATGGTGGCATTGTCATGACACCCTCAAAGTCTAGCAAGATGCCAAAGGCGAATTCTTTCATTGTGATGGCATTGCCAATTCTGGCAACCAGATTTTGCAGAGCCATCTCAAAAGATTTCTCTTCCTGATAGGCATGTTGGTAGAAGGGCAGAGGATGTTATGAAACATGTTTGTACATAAATGTAAACCAGAACTTTGCTCCTTGATTTCAAATACCCGCTTGTCACACCCACTTCAGTATTACTAATAACATTGTACATTACATACTTGGTACACTTATAGCGCCTGGTATCACACCAGTCCTGGCGAGTTCATCTTTGTTCCGCACATCGATCAGGTAGGTGCTAGGCTGATTGGGCACATCTTTAACTTGTTCATAGGTGACGGTAGCCATACTTCCAATGTGCGCTTTTACTATATTGTTTGGTGCTAAAAATCTGAAATTCTTCCAATTTAAAGACGACTCTAAACAAAAAACGATTCGTCCAACAATTAATACTCACCTGACAATGTTTTTCTAACGACCTGCTGCTTTACAAATATTTAATCAAACCACTGATTCGATTCCCCGTTCTTTCCAATTCTCTGCAAGATAAGATATGTATGTACATACATATGTACATTAGGGTCCATCACTCTCCATACAAAAAAATCGGCACTGTTTTTCCATCGGAAATATCAAGTGTATTATATTTAAAGGCTTCCGCCAAAATATTTCGGAAAAATAGGATCTATGAAAAATCGAAGTTTTTATATGTAAAATTAGTTTTAAAGATAGAGTTTAAGTTAATAAAGGGGACATGTTTAGTTATTAACCGACTTCACCGATTTGTGCCGATTGGAGACGGTTAAGGCCTGTCGCACAGGGGGCAAAGTACATAATCGCCTATGGAGACTCAAAAAATTTAAATTAAGTTTTTTCCATCTAATACCCAAAAATATATTCATGTCTCAGTTTTGTTTTTTTGCTGAAAAATTACTTATTTGCCCATTGTTAAGTTACTGGGTAGAGGGGGGAAGGCGCGGCTTTTTATACCCTACCCACCAGAAGGAGCACAGTTTAGAATCTGTAAAAAGTTAACCTTTCCACAGACCCCTGGGGAGAAAATGTAAACTCGGGGTGCGCCATCACAGTATTTTTGTGCTTAACACCTTTCCGCCCAACTCGAGCTACGCTGGTCACAGTATTTTTGCGCAGAACACCTTTCCGCACTCACAAATGTGCGTATTTCAAACCGAATTTATTAAAATTTAGCGACAGAAGACTTCCCAGAAGTTATTTCGCCTGCCTTAATTCAGGCATGTTCTACCATTATGCTCTTCTTAGCCGACGCTCTAGCTAAGCCGTATGCCTTAAATGATCTTCATAAAAATGTTAAAAATTTTTATTAACGGAGTCAGATTAATGAGATTTCTTTAGGCATTTGCAAATCGGTCCAGCTCTGATAAATCTCAATATTTTGCCAAACTATTTTGGGTGAAGTTTTACGATATTACAAATTTTATTATTCCAATGGAAAAACTTAATATTTTTTGGTTATGCACCCTAATGTACATATGTATGGGAAGGTGATGTCAGTACGAACTCACCAAATGGTAGACTGTCTTAATTGTGGCATGCATTTTAAAAGTAGTAGAATGGGGAAAAATTAGCGGCTTTGGAAAAGCTCCAAACATTAGTATAAATGATTTGGATAGGTTATAGGTATGTGTGCATGTATAAATCGAAATTGTAGAGGTGGTCCTTTAAGCAATACCTCATAACCCACTCTGTCACTTATAAAATAATGCATGTATGTCAAGGCTTGGTCCAAAAACACATTTGATCTGGGCAAATTATATTGTAATTTTCGCACGACTAATTAAAGAGGCCTGCGAAATGTCAATTTTGTTTCCCCCTACCAATACTTATATTATTTTTTTTTTAATATGTTAAATTAAAATACATCTTTGATTTTTTTCTAGCACGTCGAGATTATTTTATTGGTGACATGTATATTTTAGGATTTTGAGCAATTTGCAGGAAACGCCAAAAATTTATTACTTTGGAATTGCATTTTTACTTTTAAACAAACCGCATTAGTTGAAAATAGCCATAATTCGACTAAGTAAATCAGAAAAACTTAAGTAGTTTCGTAGATAACGCTAAAGCAGAGATCACACGATTTGTACATTTGTACAGATTTGTTCGTTTCCACAATTCCAGAGTGGTGTTGTTTGAAAAGCTTTTATTGAGCTGAACCCATTATTATTATAGACAACATCACTCTGTGACTGCCAAAGTGGACAAATGTACAAATCGTGTGATCCTTACTTAAGAAAATTGATAAAAGTAATTTTTTTTAGCGTTAACGCGCATTAATAAACTTCAAAATTACTTAAGTTTTTCTGATTTATTATCCGATATTTCCTATCTTGTAATTCAGGTCATAAACTATCTGTTTGCAAAATTTTATCAACACCGTTCCGTAGTTTTCACGTGGTTGAGCCACAGACATCCATATTCACAAACTCACAATTACAATAATTTTAGTTGGATACTTTCCAACCAACCTAAAAAAAAATTAGTCGTAAAAAAAGTTATTTGGCCCAGGAAAATTAGACTTTGTCTCAAAAAAAAAAAGATAATGGATCCAGTCTTACCCATAAATTTCGTATGGGAACATTCCGCCATCTTGGATTTTGTTTTTTTGTGTTTTTTACGATTTGCAAGCTTATTTTGCATTTTTCATAAAAATTGGTTGCATACAAATTTCTAGTATAAATTAGTAGTATAAAAAATTCAGTCCGTATGGGAGGTGCCACGGCCCCATTTGCAAGAACCCACATTTTTTCCATGAGTATAGCATTGATTTCATATATCTCCAAAATCAAAAATTTTGTACGCCCAAGTATGATACTTAGACATTTTATTTTATTATATTTTATATTGTTTATAAATGAATTATATTTTTACAAATCATACGTTTTGAGTCATAGTGTTGAGTTTGAGCCAGTAGTGTCCAACCGGTAGCTCGCGCCCTAAATTTTAGGCGCCCGCAAACAAGAAGATGAACAGAATATTTTGTATTGAATTGAAAAGTTTAACAATTGGAAGCTTTTTTGGTACATAAGTAGACTTTTATTTTTGAATTTTCACGAACTCATTCACTTCTTATCTTTCTATGCTAGACATGACAGAATCTCTGTTTCAGGATCTTCAAAACAAAAATAGCGTAATCTCAGCAATAAAAAAGTGTCGTTATCTGATGACCTACCAAACGATATTCATGGCCAAATAAAAAGCGATTTCAAGAAATGTGACTAGGTTTCCTTAATAATAGATGAGTTGACCGATGTTTCAGACTCTCCGCACTTATTAGTGTTCACCAGAGTGGTATTTTCTGATTTTTCTGCTAAGGAGGCACTGTTAGTCAATCTGACTTTGGAAACTCGTACTCGTGGGTAAGATATAAATATATAACGTAGTGAAAAAGAAGGAAAATCTGATTGCAAAAAACACTCAACCTTGTCAAGGTTATGAGCACGATCGTTCGTATTGTGAATTTGATTCGCGGATGACCGTTAAAGCATCGGCAATTCAAAGCCTTGCTCGATGAATTTGAGAGTTAATTCGGTGACATATTCTACCACTCTGAAGTAAGTCAAGGCTGAGTCAAGGTAAAGTGCTCTCAATATTTGTAGCTTTGATCACAGAAATAAAGATTTTCCTGAAATCCAAAGGAAGCATTTTGAACTGATGTGACTGCAAAACTAAATGATTTCAATACAACTTTGTAATCTCGAAATCAATGTATGGATAGAGCAATTGACAAAGAAAAACTTTCAACATTTCCAGCCGTTTACTCTTCTGGAACAGGCTTTTTCACAACTAATGGTTATAAAAAACAAATATCGAAACGTACTGACTGACGAACATGTCGAAAATAACATGATTTTAGCCTGCACAACTGTGCAATATAAACCAGATTTTAAGAAGTTACCTGAAAATATGAAGATTCAAGCATCATATGTGACACGTAACGTTATAAGGGACGTACGGTCAGAAAAATTCGGTTTTCACTTTTTCATCGACTCGTATAGTAAACGGGCCATTCTTTCCAATGCAATAAACCGCAGCTTTCTAGCTGCATTAGTTTTTTTTTACAATTTCACTTCAAAGTTAGGTACTTTCACAAAAAAAAAAGTACAAAAAAATTAAATCTGACATACTATTCTGAAATTAATCAAATTCGCTTGAAACTCATTACTCGGCGGTTTTCGAACTTCGGATTCGTAATCACTTACCTCGTTTACGGTGTCAACGACATTTTTGAGTTTCACATGAATCCGAACAAATTTTAAATTTTTCCGCCATTTTGGATCCGTCATTTTGAATTTTTAAAAACAACATCGGATTCGTAATCAGCGACACCAAAAACCCCCGGGTAACGAGTTTCAAGCGATTCCGATCAATTTTTAGAAATCTCATCCGCCATGTTGGATCCGCCATTTTGAATTTTAGAAAACTAACATCGGATTCGTAAACAGTGACCCCGAAAACCCCCGAGTAACGAGTTTCAATCCATTAAAATGTCAGAAGCATCAAAATCAACTTGGTAAACTTCAAAGTCGTTTTTCTCGAAATCTTTTTTTCTGAGCGTAGGTCCCTTTTAACTTTACGTGTCACATATTAAGTTTATTGGGCATGTGCTTCGAGTCGTACGATTTGAAATCGGTGCGATTTGCAAGCTATTTTTGATTATTTTGTTTAGCACATAATTAGCTCTATATTTATCCGAAAAATGAAAACAATCGAACCTCATGGTCCTTAAATATAACCAAATAAAGAGAGTGTAGTTACGTGACAAAAAAAGGGAAGTTGACTTTATCTTTTCTTCTTCTTTTAATATAATTTGGAGTAATTCTAGTTGCTTCTAGAGTTTTTTTGGATAAACGCAACTTATTTCAATTTTCATTTACAACCCCAAGTGTGAAACGTTACGTGACGTGGCGTCACGTTACATAAATTTCCATCGTTATATTTTTTTTAACATTGCTTTTAAATGAAATTTTAACCCGCAATTTTATGTCGAGCATAATTTATATTTTGACTTCAGCGCCAATTCAGGGTAAATTTTTTGGAAATCCATGAGTTATTATGTTTTAACTACATACGACAAATTCGAGCCGAATCGGACTATAAATACGGTTTTTCAAAATATCACGACCTTGGCGCCACCTAGCAACACCATTTTACGCACAAAATTTTCTACTTAAATAGCCAATATATATTTAAATAATAAAATTATGGTTTAAAAAACTAAAACCTCGCTATTAAAATTTCCATTCGTACTGTCATCAGGTTACTTTAAAGAATGGAAATCGCTGCGTCTTTTAGGCGCATCAATATTACATAGTTGCATCCCGAGCTAATAAAAGCGAGGTAAAAAAAGCAGGCAATTTGGCCCATAAATACGTTAGATATATGACTTTTTTTTCGCGGTAGACCTTTCAATGAAAACACCTATATTTCAGTGCTTTGAAAAAACTCAGCTAATGAGCCAAGGAGCAGCAAACTGTTTACAGCATAGAAAATTATGCGCATGTCTCTGTCCCCACGGACAAACCACAGA